AGCTGTGCGCCTGCGCAGGCGCCCCGGGCCGGCCCGCGGGACCCTGGGAGTTGTAGTCCACGTCCCGCACCGCCGGCCTCTGCCTGCGGGCGCGCGCGAGGCGGGGTCCCCAAGTGCCGTCACGTCAACGACCGGGCGTCGTTTGTACAGTCAGGGCGAGGGACTCATTGGCATGCTCTTAGGAACCGACCTGCTGGGGCCGGCAGGTGCTGTGGGGATTGAGTCGCTGGGCTACCACACGGTGGACCCCGGTTTGAGTCCCAGACCTGGTGGCTTGCTTTCTCGTTTTCCCATCTCTCTCTCTTCTCTCTCTCTCATCAAGTTAAAGAATAATAACAAATGTAATTAAGTAAATAAATAATTATAAAAAACTATACTGTTATATTATATTGTTATACACTTATTAATTACTTGTACAGTATATAAAACAAACCCACGGCTGTGCTCCTGCGGATGCTCCCGCCCCATCCCGCCCTGGCCCTCCTCCCAGTAAAAAAACGCCATCTGCCACTCACAAAAGATGCATGTGCCCCACCCTGGCTGTGTGAAGTCCAGACCTCTGGGCTTTCTGTTCAGATCAGGGAGCATGTAAGTCATTCCGAGGGCACCCGCCACGGTACCTTCACCCTGGGGGTTACAGGGAATACTCTGCCTGTCAAATCAGGGCAGATCTGTCTTTAATTACACTTATTTAATTTATTTTTTTAAAAGAACATTTTATTTATCTTTATTTATTTATTTAAATTTGACCAGAGAGAGACAGAGTAAGGGGGGAGGGAGATGAAAAAAAGCAAGGTACCAGGTCCAGGGCTCAAACCGTGGTCTGCCCTCTGGGAGTCCAGCACCCTTAACCACCACGCCACCTGCTGGCCCCTAATGACACCTATTTTAAAGAATAATGCCGCAGGGTTGAAGCCGGAGGTTGGTAAATGTACGCAGGCAGTCTGTCAGCACAGTCCAAAGGTCTTAAAAACATGAAGTCAATAGCCTCTAGCCAAAAAGTCGCTGTAGCTGAGAGGGTGGGGCAGCTGTATGAACTCCAGGCAAAGTGGGGTCAACAGCCAGGAAGCATGGCCGGGACTAAACGGGATCATCATATCACGATGAAAGGGTCAGCCCCAGAAGACACAATACTCCAGAACTGAAAGTAAAAAGAGACCACTGCGCAGTTACAGCCGAGACTCAGCACTTCTCAGCAATCACAGCACAGCTAAACGCAAGGGCAGGAAAGCGCCACATCAAAGCCAGCCAGATTCCATAGATATTTACAGAGCATTCCACCCAACTGCCTGGAACACGCTCTTCTCAAGCTCCCGACATAGACTGCTTACCAGGGTAAACTGTATTTGGGGCCACACATTTAAATGAGCAAAAGAC